CCCCAAAACCCCAAAACCCCAAAACCCCGTTGATTCCATCAAAATAAACAATAAAACTAAGAATAAAGATTATAAATTATTTAATGAAAGCACCGATCTATCTTTAACAGTAGCCTCAGTCTTAATCCTAGTAGTATTCCTCCACGCGAAGCACTACCATAGTGCCTAACACTGTCACTCTTATGAATCAATAGACACTACAAATGGCAGCCCCTAATTTCAAGCTTATCTCTAAGGATCAATTGTTAACTATGAACAGTGCTATCTTAAATAACAGTAATCTTTTAAGTAATCAGCTGGGATTTGTGAAAAATTACAGCTCTCTGGAGAATGGCAACAAGGAAATAGATTGTAACAGATTTTTCCTGGAAGAATTCGAAGATCTTAACGACAGTTGTTAGGAAAATCACAAGCTTTCCTACACCTAGCAAATAAGCTAGAAAAAGGGATTCTATTAGCAGAAGGTTTATGAGTAAGTAAGAAATTATATACTCTAAAGTTTATGTCGAATTTATTTTTAAGGATTTATATTGATGCTCTTATAGTTTCGACAATCTGAAGAAAAAAGACGAGGAAAAGAGAAAGCTGTAAGATACCCATGAATTATTGATTATAATTTTAGACTGACTAAAACAATTGCTGATAGCAGCCGAATCTAAACTTAGAAATTCTTCCAAAGAGAAAATATCAAATAACAAATGCTCAAAGAACGTGATTATGTAATTTCATCCATATTGGCTAAATTAATAATTAGAAACTGAAGGAGATGAGAACATATCGTAAGAAGTCTTTAAAGAACTTTGAGCATAGTCCATTCAACAAGAATCTAACTTACATTATGCAGAAAATCAAACTGTAAAATGAAAGCATGCTTTAATTTAACACTCAGAACAGCCTCACAAATAGTCCTTAGAAATCTCCGAATCCTAGTTCAAACCTTAAGATGTATCAACAACTGAGAATAAGATCTAAAACTCAAAATAAAAATCACAGCTATCACATTAGAGATTTTAACAACAATAGTTCATTAATGAATACAAATTAGTTGCAAAATATTCCAGAGTAGGAATAAGAGTAATTCAATGATAACAAGACTTTTGATTAGCTAGAAGATGAGCCGGTCATTTAAATTAGTAACAATCAGACATCAAGACTCTCTGAAGTGAAGCATAGAAGACCACCTACACTAGAGACTCCTAAGAAATTCATCTTTCCAAACTCAGATAATTAATCAAAATAAATCACTATGAGATAAAAGTTTAATCTTGCCAGTAATTAAGATAAGATTCATTATTCTCTATCAAGTGCATAATCAGCAGCTAATAACCATTATAGTGAGTTTAACACTAAATCCCACCTTCCATCTGGCATAATCCCACTTAGCACTTCCTAACAGTCAAAAATAGCAGTTCCAGCAAATCATCAACTATTTTCAAATTTACAATTTTAATAGATGCAGTCTAAGCTTAACTAATCAGCAATTCTGCCCCAAAATAACTACACTAATGATAGTATGGAGCAGCCATTCCAATAAGATTTGCTTGATCAGTTAGCAATCTTGGAAAATAGCAAAAATTTCTACAAGAAGCAAATGCAGATGCTTGCTAGTTCTAAAATGAACAATTCAACCAATCGATCATCTGTCAGGAAATATAAAAATCACTATAGACAAATGAGTAATTATACACCTATTAACATAATTTACAATCAAAGTATCCTAAATCCTATAAAGAAACAGAAATAGAACAATAATGATTACTCACTAACAAATAATAACACTGCTGACACTCTCAAGGCAAGACTTAGAAGTAGTACTGATAGAGAAAGTAAATAGAGAATAACAATTTCACCAAAGACTTAATGTGGACCAAGAGGTCAAATAGAAATATAAAGTATGCCAAGAGCTCAAGTTTGTACTACAACAAATAAAGCGAATAGAATAAAGAGAAATGGTTTTGATCTAGAAGGGGCAAATAGCAAGCACTCAAGAGCTATTAGTATGGCTAATAATTTCAAGATACAGATGTAGCAACAAAACTAGTAGTAAAATGAAGAATTCATGTAAACTGTAGAGTAAAATCCAAATCTTACTAATTTTAATATCTAATGATTGATTTTTATTCAATTTTATATAATTTAAATACTTTTAGAATTTATTTGTACTACTATTACGAAAGATTTCTTATCAAAATAATAATAAGTCATTAGCTGTCATAAGTGGGTTTTGCGAATTATAATATGGAGTCAGA